TTTTTATTTTTATTTTTATTTTTATTTTTATTTTTATTTTTATTTTTTTAACAATTTCTGGTTTCCCAAGTCATTACTAGTGTCAGAGGAAAGCAGTGGCTATGGCACTAGAATCGGGCTGGGATGTTCTCATGAGAGTTTCCCAGAATTGTCCATATGTTTAATGTAATGGCCTCACTGTTTTCTTTCTTGCATTGCAGACGTTTGGCGCTGAAACGCTTAGTTATGCAAAGTGGATAATTCCTATAGCTGTGGCCATGTCTTGCTACAGTGGGTTAAACTCATCAATAATTGCAGCATCCAGGTATGAAATATATGATTTATTTGAAGTAGTAAAAAAGGAATCATTTGTCATTAATCTGCATTCTTCACTACCACGCTGTGAAAGGGACACTGTTAATTTCTGCATGTTAAATTGTTCGTTTATTCTGGAAGGACAATTATGATATAAACTACAGGCACTGGAGAACAGAGCAGCATTTACAATACACTGATAAACTAATTAATTCTGTCTTTGTCAGAAAGCAGTGAGACATTCCTTGGCTAACTGGTTGTTAGAGGGGACTTTTTTTGTTGGGTTCTTTTTTAGGCTTTTCTATGTTGGAGCCAGAGAAGGACACCTCCCTGACAGTCTGAGCTTGATTCATATGAAGAATTTCACACCAGTCCCTGCTCTTCTCTTTAATGTAAGTGAAAGCCCAGCGCCATGCCTGGCATGATTAGCTGGGGATAAAGACACAGGGGGTGTTACATCTCCCTACTGTACACTGCTCCCCAGCTTTCCTGCACTGACAGCATCTTCCTCAAGTGGCCAGGATTTCTAAAACTCATTTTATCTGGTGGTTTTTTTCTTCAGTGGAAAAAGAATGGCCTGATTCTATTATGTGCTCTCTGATTGTAAAAGTAGTCAGAATAAGAAACAGAAGCTTAGAAAATGGCAGTGTAACACATGGACAGGAGTTAAATCTTTATATGTGTTTTCAGTGTCCAGTGGAGAAGAGTATGACAGGAAGAGCTCTCCAGCCCTCCTGAAGGCCAATTTTCCAGGGCTCTAGTTATAACACAACTGTTAAAGCATTTAAGTTTAAATTCATAATGTTGGATGCCTATACTTGTTATTACTATCTTCTGCTCTCACAATACAAATAAATCCTGTGACACAAAAGCAAGGGAGCATAACATACAGTCTTCATGCAAATGATCTTAATGAATAATCCATAAATCTAATAGATTGAAATAAAGAAGAGGAGACACACAAGCAAAGAAAGTGGGAATAAGGAGGTGATTGCCTCATTATGGATACTCCCTTAATACAACAGTCCTCCTTTTTCCTGGTAGATGTTTTCTGCTCATCAAAAGAAGACTGCATACTTCTATGTCTCATGTTTGTTAAAGCAGTCGTAAAATTCCTGGTATTTTAGATCTCATTTTACCCCTTTCATGCAGAGTATATAGCACACCTGTGTGACACAGCTTTTAATGTTCTCAATGAGTGGATTGTGAGCACCTCCAAAAGAGAAACAAAATTAAATGCGAGGTTTCAAACTGAAGCTGATCAGCGCAGTTGGCCCATCCAAGGTTGGGCTGTTCATCTGTCCTTCTTAGGATGGTTTTCTGTGATGCTGAAATGCAGATTCACAAAGGCAGGACCTCTTCAGCCAGGCCTGGAGCTGTCACTGCTGCATTTGAGGAAGAGATACCAGCCTGATTTCCAGCCAAATATGTTTGAAACAGGCGTTTTTATAACTTTACTACCTGTTTTCTTCTTAATACAACTTTTATTTATTTTCCCATTAAAATGCCTTTCTTTTTTATCTCTAGGGTTTAATGACTTTGCTTTATCTCCTTGTGGAAGATGTTTTCCTCCTCATTAATTACTACTGCTTCAATTACTGGCTCTTCGTGGGCCTGTCTATTGCAGGACTAATATATTTGAGATATACTCAGCCACGTAGACCACGGCCTATTAAAGTAAGTGAGAGGAAATAAGCTGTAACAGCCAGCTCGTATACAGGTTTATGTTACACATAATCCCAAAATCATAACATTACCAGTTGTGCTACAGGCTATTCATTTCAGCCATAGGAATCCTGTTAACATAGAAGGTAAGAAATGAAGGGGCAAAACCTGTTTCAGTTTCCACAAAAACAAGTACTCTTGCTGTGTGCTTGAAATGATACTTTCAATTTCCTTTTCCTTTCGCTAAAATTTAAGTTTCTCTTTTTTTTTTTTTTTTTTTTCTTTCACCTGAATAAATAAATCCCTGGGGTTCACAGTCAGTTCTTAGTCCTTTTAGTTTTGTTCACAGAGGACTCCAGTATGTGATGGGGACTCCAGGGAGATTCACGCTGGTCAAACTTAGCATAAGAAGTTCATCAAGAATCTCTCCAAAAACAATAAATGCTCAAATTCTCCTCATGTAGAAGTTCAAAAGCTTGAATAATAAAATACAGACATTTAGCCTTTCTCATGCACAGTGGTCATATGCAGTGAAATGCAAGCTTAAAACTGACAGAAGAAGGGCATCTGACTATAGCAAGGTGAAGGAGGCAGCAGAGAAATGAGGCACACCTACGGTTCATTTCTAGGTTTAATCCAGTGACTGTCCAGGATGCAGGAAAGGAAGCCCAGAGCTTCTCTTAGGCACCGAAAGCTACACACTCTTGTTTGACTGTGCTCCCTTGACTCTACGGCCTGTGTCCTAGCTCTGCAGAGATGCAGCAAAATTATGAGAAATCCAAATTAGCATCATATCTTTTGAAGCTTTTCTAGATATTTCTTCCTTGTTACCCTATATCCCTATATTCCTGTACCATCTTTACCAGCACCTTTTTTTTTTTTTTTCCTGTTTAATTGTAACATCCTGAATAGAAAAGCTAAAGTATGCTTAGCACCTACTGCTAGGAAAGCTTACACAAATCAAACATTCCTGAAGCATTCTCACACTTCACTTTCAAACTTCTGTACAAGATATAAGAAGATGAAGGTAAAATTTTGAATTATGGACAGTTTTGGTATTGACTTTCCTAAAGCAAAGTAGATAATAGATAATAACTATTTAATTCCCAGCAGCATTTGCCAGCTTAGTCAATATCACAAGTTTGCATATGCTTTTTTTTTTAATCATAACCATTGGTTTTCATCACTTTATAGTTATAACTTTTTATAAGTAAAATAAATACTTACGCCAGTAAAAATTCCAATGCTAAAATACCATCTCCTGAATTCTTTAGAAGTCTCATGACTACAGCCAGTGAAAAGTAAAAGATAAATCCATTCATAAGTTATTGCAACTTCCATTAGCTGTGATATAGACTTGCTAAGTGCCCTTCCCAAATGGTTGTAAATCATCCATTTGGTTTTGTAGAATCAGGATAATTGAAAGTCTAGCTAAGATGGATCCCCATCAAAGCTACAATTAAAAATTTGCAATTGAAGTTACAAGGAAAACTACCCATTACTGTTCAGTTTTAAAGTAGCGCTTTCAGATTGGTCTCTTACCAATGTGGAAAGGAACTGAGTTTGTGCAGGTCTAAAAACTACAAAATGGTCATCAGATTGTCACAAATGTACCAAAGACGCTCTCAGCAGCATAAACTGAAGCTACCTACGATAAGGATACTGCCTGTAGCCATTCAACAGATAATGCACAGTACTTACTAGTCATATAGTCAATAATTATGTTTTTATTATTGACCTGTCTCATTTTAATCTACAAAGTTTTACACACACTGCTTCTTTTAATAAATGTTTGTTTTTTTCTCCACAGCTTAATCTCTTCTTCCCTATCATATACTGTTTATGTTCCCTTTTCCTGGTCATAGTTCCTCTCTATAGTGACACGATCAATTCCCTTATTGGCATTGGTATTGCCCTCTCAGGCATTCCTGCATATTATTTAGGAGTCTATCTGCCAGTTGAAAAAAGACCTAAATGGCTACAGTGGCTCTCTGGTAAGTAATATACTATCTTTTCATAGTCACAGTGCTAGTGTTTTGAATGCTTGATCAGAAGTATAACTTTTCTTACATTCTTCTTCCCCTATGATGTATACCTATGCTGCATACAGCATATCACACCATTTGCTTCATCACACGGCCCTGAAAACAAAGACACACGTACCTGTACATGCATGCAGTTTAGTATCTTGGAAGGAAGAAATACCAGAAGACCACTGCTTCACTTCCTGATTGGGAAGTGGGATATCAGAGTCAGAGGAGCCCATATGTTTTCCTAAATTATGAAGTAATGAATGATTAGCCTGAAGGCTAGTTTCTACTTCTCAAGTTCAGGCAATCTTGGAAATCAGATGTTTAATGTTTTATTCAGTTTGACATCAGATGTCAATCTGACAATTAAATGAAAATGCTGATTAAGAGAGACTTTATTTTTAATTACTGATTTCTTTTTCCCTTTACCTATTCATTGTATTCTCCTAATATTTGCATAGTGCTTTCAAATGCCTCAAAAGTCCGTACATTAGTCAAAGATGTAACTTTGTCTCAGCTACGCATTTTTGCTCTGTATTGCAGTTACAACAACCAGATACATTCAGCTGCTCTTCTACTGTGCTCTGTCAGACCTGGACATAGACATGGAACCTACAAAAGCTAAAAGCAAATAGGATTGCCTTGACATTGGGAATTGCACCCGACGCATCCTGTCCGGAACAATTTTTATAACCTGAAGTTCTCTCCATATCCTCAGATATGTTAAAGCATCAGCCACTGTACTTTGCACCAATTTGATGTCTGTTAATTTCTGCTTGTTTCATAAACCACTTGCCAGCCTCTGTTTTACAGGATTTTTTTTAACTGTTCATAAACAGTTACTGAACAGCACTTTGAAACTATAAAGTATGGTATGAACAAACACTTATCAGTAGGTAATTATTAGGTTCATTGTAAAAGCTTAATAAAGAAAAAAAATTCCATCAGAATCCTAAGAAATAAATTCATCAATGTAACAAAAATCAAATCAGATATCTGCAAGATTCAAAACTTGAGTTGGGAAGCAGAAGCTACAGTGTACTTCTAAAAATATTCCTAAATTCTTAGCCAAATAAAAAATAGATAGTCTGTACTGGATAGGATACAGTTGGCAATTGGTTTTGGTCAATTATATTTTGTGAGAAATTCTTATTTAGTTATAGGCCATATTCATTACCCTTCTGTGGAAGAAGTATCTTCAACAAACAAATGACACTCTTGTAACTGATGTATTTTTACTTTCTGGCAGAAGATCTCACTGTGGAGCACTGTAAGGGACTGAGACATACTTCAGTTCATTATATTCAGAGAAAACACATTTCCATAGCATCCACTGCTTGCCTTTCAGTATCAAAAGCATCAAAAAATGAATCATACTAATTTTTTTGTACAGTACAAGTCATTTAAAGATTTTTTAAGGAAAAAATTAAAAAATCTTGATTAAAAATCTTGTGAGCCACTGCCCAACCCTGCAGGTTGGTCTTTCGCAGAATGGTTGAGGTTGGAAGGGACCTTGGAGGACACCTGGTCCAAACCCTCAGAGTCATCTAGAGCAGGTTGCCCAGGACTGGCCTTGCCAGTTCTTCTGGCACATCACCCTGCAGTCCTGCTCTTCAGCAGAGAGCCTCCTGCACTGGCTGCCAGGCCTTCACATCTTGCAGGTGCCCATTGCAGCACTAGATAAGTGCACCCACCAGTGATTAAATAAATGGGCAGTAAGAACATTCTGTTTTTCAGTGTGGCACACAGTAATGTGTAACCAGTCCTAATTCTTAGCTGCTTCAAGTGGGAAAGATAATAACTGTCATAGGAAAGAAAAAAACAATCACCTTTATCAACTAGACTATGAAAACAACGGTTCCTTTTCTAATCTGCTTCATAGATATGTAGAACTTTTTGTAATCCTTCTTGTCAATTCATACTTCCTTTCTGTAATTATATTTGAAAGTAGCATATATTTTTTTAATTCAAATTCCATTCAAGTAACCCCAACTAAGTTATTTTTTTTAAATCTTATTAAGTCCCTGTGGCTTCTACTATTATTGTCTTTTATTTATGTCTATCCAGACAAAGAGAAATGGAATAGGAAAAAAGGCAGTTGTTGCCACTGTGACCTTTTTTTCATTCCCTCCCTACAGTGTAAGGTCATTTGCAAGATGATAAGCTCATGTACCTCTAGCCTAATGCTTGCTGGCACTTCTTCTGTGAAGCTTTCTCTACACATTCTAATTCCATCCATTGCAGCACTTGTGGGATTTTCTTTTGATGTAAAGTGTAAGTGATAAAAATGCACTAAACTAAGGTATGGTACTTAGATATTTAGTACTTAAGGTACTAATATACTAGAAATGTATATTTTGCTTTTTAGAAGCTGTGACTTTAATGCACTAAAATCACTGAAGTATCATAAACATTAAGAGGAAAGAAGATCAAGGGTGTAATTTAGATTGCCCTGTTCCAGATACTCTTGTGTACTCTTCATGTACACAAGTGCCTATGTTACAGTACTGCGTGATGTTCATTCTGCTCTGTGACTTAACAGAAATACTGCATTGTCATCCCATCTTTTGAAGGCACCAGTTAATGATGAAGTTGAGATCCCACAAGGCACACAGAGAATGTAAAGCCTGCAAGACAAATTAGCAGTGCCAAATTAAACCTAGCAGTCTTTGTCTGCAGAGTTCAAAGTGACGCTTGATGATGAGCTCCATGTCACATGAAGAAAGCACTGCACCATGCTATAAAGTTGTTCATTACATGCCCAAAGGTGCTACGTGGTTTGACACAATTGAAATGATACCAGGTGGTAACAGATAGTGGGCACCAATGGTAGCATAAGAAAGGCTATGAACATTCCCATAGAAATTCTGAACTGATAAACTTTGTGGTTTTTTGCCAAAATCTGTTTTTGTATGAATTTGTTAGCTTTCTGGGCACCACGCACAAGCTTCCATTTTCTTTCTTTCTGGACAGGTGACAAGTGGAAGTGTATTAGTAGTCAGATGCAATGCTATAAATGTGAATACTGTTATTGAAATTCTGTATAGACATTGGAATCTCAGAAATGTTCGTGTATTTGTTGATTTTTAATTCCTTACAAATAATACGTGTTTTGTTTTCAAATATCTAAGGCCAAGTTATAGATGCTAAAATATTTAAATAAATCACATTTGATCCTTGGCAAATGCTACAGTTGTGTGGTTTTAAAACATAAGAATAGCATTGCATGTGAAATTTGTCCTACCTTTCATCTCATAACTTGTTTTCTCAGGAGAGCAATGAAACTCTAGTTCTTATTTCTCCTTTATTTTATCTTCAATCCCTCAATCTGTACAAATATCCAGGGTTTTCCTGTGCCAGATTCTGAACCTGGCTATATTCACCAACTGGGGAATGAGAGGTTGGAGAGCAGCACTATAAGAAGGGGATCGGGGACTGTGGCTGACAGCAAGCTGAACGTGGGTCAGCAGTGCGCCTTGGCAGCCACAAGGGCCAACTGTACTCTGGGATGCACAGGCCCAGCACTGACAGCAGCTGAGAAGGGTTGTCCCACTCTGTACAGCCTCACCTCGAAGGCTGGATTTGGGCACCACAATATCCAAAGGACATAAAGTTATTAGCAGGCTGAGGGGAGGCCTTGTAGAATCACCAAGGTTGGAAAAGACCTCCAAGATCATCCAGTTCAGCTGTCCATCTATTACCAATATTTCCCCACTAAACTATCTTCTTTAGTACAACATCTAAACATTTCTTGAACACCTCCAGGAACAGTGATTCCACCACCTCCCTGGGCAGCCTATTCCAGCGCCTAACAACTCTTTCAGAGAATAAATTTTTCCTAACATCCAACCTGAATCTCCCCTGGCACAACTGGAGGCCATTTCTTCTCATCCTATCACTAGTTACTCAGGAGAAGAGGCTGACCTCTCCTCACCACAACCTCCTTTCAGGCTGCTGTAGAGAGTGATAAGGTCTCCCCTGAGCCTCCTCTTCTCCAGACTTAACAATCCAGATGCCATTGGCCTTCTTGGCCACTTGGGCACACTGCTGACTCCTGTTTAGCTGAAGGTCGACCAACACCCCTACGTCTGTTTCTTCCAAACAGTCTTCCAGCCACTCTGCCCTAAGCCTGTCACATTGCCTTGGGTTGTTGTGGTCAAACTGCAGGACCCAGCACTTGGTCATGTTGAATTTCATCCCATTGGCTTCAGCCCAGCAATACAGCAATCTAGCCTATCCAGATACTAAAAGCATTCATACTAGATTTATACTAAATTTTTTCTTAAGTATTTGCATAAGTCATCCTGAGTACATTGTCCATATGTAGTTGTGAATAGCCAAGGTACCTTCTGTGTATTTTTATTTGTCTTTCTTACTTCTGGAAAATTAAACTTTATTTTCCTGATGCATAAAAAATATTGAAATCAGGGTGCATTATCTAGTTCCAATCCCCCTCATGCAGGAAGGGTTGCCAGCTATTAGAACAGGCTGCCCAGGGCCCCATTCAACCTGGCCTTGAACGCCTTCAGAGATGGGGCATTCATAGCTTTTCTGGGTAACCTGTGCCAGTGCCTCAACACCTTCTGAGTAAAGAATTTTCCCCAGAATCTATCTAAATCTCTTTTGTTTTAAAGCAATTCCCCCTTATCACTGCCAGACCGTGTAAAAAGTTGGTCCCCCTCCTGTTTATAAGTTCCTTTCAAGTACTGTGATGCGAAAGTGACGTACAGGAGAAAGCACATTCAGTATCTGTGTGAGTGGGCACTAAGACACTCCCTAAGCATCTTCTCTTGTAATTACTTATATTGTATAACAAGAGCTTTAGAATTATTATCGCAAAATCTTTGAATCTGTAGTACCAGATCTGTCTAGCTGCTGTTCTCTAGCTGATAAGAGAGTTTTGTAAAGAGTTAGCTGATAAGCTGGAGTTTTGTAACTATTCCTTTTTTTTCCTGCAGGATTCATTTTGGTATATTAAGAGTGGCAGCCCAGTATCTATGCAAAGTGCTATAGTTTTGCAATTCTCAAAAGCTCTAAAAATAAAAGCGAAAGTTAGCTGAGGTTTAAATAAAGTGCAAAATCCAAACTATGTTACAGAATTAGGAGATAACAACATCTTCATTTTCTAAACCAGGATCTCACAAGAAATACAGAAGTGCTGTTTTAGGAATAGGCATTTAATGTAATAGATGACAATTTCACTGAAAAACGTGAAAAACAAGCAGGCTACCAAAATATCTCATGATTAGCAACAGAGAAGGCCAGTGCTAAAGTCATAGGAAATGAGTGGAATTAGTTTGATGTGACCATGGTTTTTAAACAGGAGAGCTCAGCATTAAAGCAAATGATCATTAATCAGTTCTCCTCTAGCAAAGAGAATAAATGAGAATTAAGTGGTTCATGCTACAATTCAATTAAAAAAAAAACACAGTAGAAATGACAAGGAGTGGTTATCCAAAATGTGCTGCGTGTCGACTGAGGAAAGTGAATACACTTCAGCATACAAATAGACCAAAGATGAATTCAGCAGTATGTTTACTCAGTGCTCAAAAATGTTTATTTCACAGAGCCAAAACCAGCACTGGGCCACACTCTCAGAGGGAGGGCAGAGTTTGAATTGGGGGGAAAAAATACCAAACAATATAAAAAAAACACCACCAAACCAAAACAAAAAATCTGGGGCTGTTTGATAACATTCTCATTTACATGCAGAGATCAGAATAAAGAAAGGAGTATGCACTGGTTTAAAGTCGTAATAAATCTTTCCTCTTTATAGAGTAGAAAAGTAATTTAGAAACAGAAGAGAGACAGAGGTGACTGTCATACATTCAATGCTAGGTTTCCTTCCTTCCTTCCTTCCTTCCTTCCTTCCTTCCTTCCTTCCTTC